TTGCGTATCAGTGTCTTCTTTAATGAGTGGAGGTGAGAACTCACACACTGTAAACATTAGGTCTGTGCTGATGCCGGGGGAGGGGGGGAAGCTGAGGACCGGGAGTGGCTGATGGCCATAATGGGGCCAGTGAGGGGAGGAGCACAGCTTGTGTGGGAGCACAGCTAGTGAGGGAGCACAGCTTGTGAGGGAGCACAGCTAGTGTGGGAGCACAGCTTGTGTGGGAGCACAGCTTGTGTGGGAGCACAGCTTGTGAGGGAGCACAGCTTGTGAGGGAGCACAGCTTATGTAGGAGCACAGCTTGTGAGGGAGCACAGCTTGTGAGGGAGCACAGCTTGTGAGGGAGCACAGCTTTTGTGGGAGCACAGCTTGTGAGGGAGCACAGCTTTGTGGGAGCACAGCTTGTGAGGGAGCACAGCTTTTGTAGGAGCACAGCTTTTGTGGGAGCACAGCTTGTGAGGGAGCATAGCTTATGAAGGAGCACAGCTTGTGTAGGAGCACAGCTTGTGAGGGATCACAGCTTGTGAAGGAGCACAGCTTGTGAGGGAGCACAGCTTGTGAGGGAGCACAGCTTGTTTGAAGATCATCACCTGACCAAGCCCCTCAGCACGGGATTAAGGTCAGCCATGTATGCAGTCTCTGGTGAGGCCCGAGATCCATCTGGACTCTGTTCCTCAGCCCCTCTCCCTGTAATGTGGTCACGTTATGGGTCATGTTTTGTGGCTTTCAGTGGCTGTTCACTGTGTGAGACCATCCTAAGCCAGACACCAAGCAGGCAATGGCAAAGCCAATCCTGTGGGCAGAGGTGCTGATGGCTTCATCCCTCCCATCATGCTCCTGGAGGCCTGCTGGTGAGACATTACAGCCATTCCCCAGTGTCCGGTCTCAAATCCTCAAGGCAGGAAAGGGGAAATATCAGCAGCTGAGTGTCTACACTGTCCTGTCACAGAGACACACTCATATTTTACAAAGGCCCTGGGTAAACAAGCTTAGAACCCAGATTCCAATCTGAATCAGGATGCAAACTATCGGCTCTTTCCACCGTCTGCTGTGGCTTCTGGGAAAGCAGGACACTAGAGACAAAAATCCATTTGGGGAAAGTTCACCACCTCTGGAGCTGAACTGCAATGCAGGAAGGGTCTGTAGATTTCACTCCGCCATGGGGATCCAAACGACTCCAGACATGTGCAAGCCATGGGCTCCCATGTATTTACCCTTCTGCTCATCCAGCGATGGCAACCATTTTGTTAGTCACTAAATGAGGCAGGGTATCTTCAAGGGCAAACTAGTATTAACGTACCTTCAAAAGGGCCTACCCTTTCTCAGCTAAAATTTCATAATACACGCTGAACTTGCCCAAGGGACATTCTTGTCCACCACTTTAATCTTTTAAACACGGTGCTCCATGACCTTAAATTGGGTGTGCTTGGGAATTACACCTTAACTGAGCACACTTAGGCACATAACAATTGCCATACGTGTAGGCTCTGTGGTAGTTTGAATGTAACTGGCCCCCATAATTCCTTAGGGAGTGGCACTATTAGGAGGTGTGGCTTTGTGGGAGTGGGTATGGCCTTGTTGGAGGAGGTGTGTCACTGTGGGGTGAGTGGGGGGGGGCGTGTTGAGGTTTCCTATGCTCAGGATACAGCCCAGTGTGTTTCAGTAGACTTCCTGTTGCTGCAAGATGTAGGACTCTCAGTACTACGGCACACCGCCATGCTCCTGTCATGATGATAATGGACTGAACCTCTGAAACTGTAAGTGAGCCACCCCAATGAAATGTTTTCCTTTATAAGAGTTGCTGTGCTCATGGTGTCTCTTCACAGCAATAGAAACCCTAACCAAGACAGGCTCCCTGGATAAAACCCAGGCTTCCTTTGTTGAGGAGCGCATTGAAGTTAAGAGAACACCATCTTGTGCCAGCTGCATCTTGTGTCTGCTTAAACACTCGCCAGCCTTCTAACCACCAAGAGCCACTTAACAACACATTTGGGATTTCCATTGCCCTGACCATGGTCTACATGCATTAACCAAAATACTTAATGTGTATGCACATTTAAAATTAATGGTCATGTTGGTCGTTCTTTTGTAAGTGACTCCCAGTCTCTCCTGCTGCAGGTCGTAAATCTTTCTCTATTCACTCAGGTCTTGGCTGTGCTTATTTTGGTTTTGCACCCACCAAGATGTGAACCCATTGCATTTGGTTCCAGCTAAGGCACAGCTCCTATCTGGAAAGGAAAGTCAGGGAGCAAAGAAGACCCTCAAAAGTCCATGACACATCCCCAAGCATGGTAGCCAAGCATCAATAAGCCTCCTGTCTTACTGAACCCAATCTTGAGGAGACAGGCAATCAGAACTGTGGAAGATGTGTCTCCATGGGGTCTTCCTGATGGCGTCTCCTATTGCTAACCTCACAGGAAGTCCACAGACCATTCTCAATCCATCCTCCACGCTGTCTTCCCCGTCCTAGCAGGTCACCATCATCAGTGCGAACGTGGCAGGGTTCACGGGACATGCCTGAATGAGCTGTTCTGACCACTGTCTTAAGTCACTGGTCTATTGCTGTGAAGAGACAGCATATACATTCCCCCAACCTAACAAGGACGTATCTTGATCTCAGGCTGAGAATGAATCTTTCGATGTGGACTTCATCTTAGATATGATCATTCAGATTTACACCGTAGACTAGAATGATAGGTTGTAGCTGGCCGAAGCTAGTACCTTGTGTGAAGATGATGTCAATGGACGATGGTGAATTCAACCCCACGGGTGACAGGCCTTCCCGGGATGACACGTTTGAGTTTGTAATGTATGGGAGGGCGTGTCAGAATGAGAGTAACGGTCCTTTCACGAGAGCAGATCTTCTGCTTTCACAGTCCTGCTCAAGCGTGCTGGGGGTGGGGTGGGGGGAATGCCAATGGCTTGCCTGGATCTGAGGTAGGTTTGAGAGCTTGTGTCCTGATTAATAAACTGGCCTTTTAAAGCATGTGGAAAACAGCGGTGCCTCTTAGTCACTCGGCTGTGGACATGTTGTTTACCCCTGAAGGACAAATGGGGCCTCAGACAACTGCAGGTGCATCTTGAGCTAGTCTGAGCTCAAGGGGAAACAGATTTGCCTGTCAAAGACCCAGTGGGAAGGCTTAAAGTGAATAGAAAGTTGTTTGGTGTGTCAGATTTTTAAATTAAACTTTACTTTTTCAGAAACAAACAAAACAACCTAGTAGCCATGTTAAAAGCAAGCAAAAGGAATAAAGGATTGGGGTCATAGCTCAGTGGTACTGCGCTTCTTTTACATACTTGAGTCCCTAGGTTCAATTTCCAACACTGCACAAAACAAAAGACAAACAAAAACCCAAGCCAAAAAAAAAATAGGAAAAATAACTTTTAATAATATGCTCTATTCAACCTAATAAATTAAAAAGTTTACCATAAAAAATGTAATTGATTGAGGCCAAGTGGTGGCGCACGCCTTTAATCTCAGCACTCTGGAGGCAGAGGCAGGCAGATCTCTGAGTTCGAAGCCAGCCTGGTCTACAGAGTGAGTTCCAAGACAAGCTCCAAAACTACATAGAGAAACCCTGTCTCGAAAACAAAACAAAACAAAACAAAATGTAATTAAAGTGACAATCCAATGAAATCCCTTGAACTGGTACATATTTCGCACCTGAAGCTTATCTTGGTTTGGAGCAAACCCATTTAAAGTACTCATTGCCCACAGGTATCCAGTGGCTCCCACACTGGACAACAAAATAACTGGTAATTAAATAACATAACTTTTGTTATAGTGTCCTTATTATTCTCCAGTTAAGAGGAAACTAAAATGTAGATTACAAATATTCATAAACGAACAACAAAAACATGTCACATTTTTACCTGCATGTATTTATGAGTACCATATGCATGCCTGACACCCTCACAGGTCAGAAGAGGGCATCAGATCCCCTGAAACTGGAGTTACAGGGGCTGCGAGCCACCATGTGGGTGCTGGGAATCAAATCTCTGTCTTTTGGAAGAGCAACCAGCAGTGAGTCATCTCTCCAGCCTCCACGTCACATTTTTAAATGCTGTTATTTATGGCAAAAGAAATGAAAAAATAGATACATTTGTTAGAAATCACTTAGGAAAGGTTAAGCATTATACAGTTAAGTTTTATCACAGAAATCTACTAAAAGAATAGCAAATAAACTCAAAATAGAAAGGACATTAAAAAAAAGATCATAAAAGCAGATCACTGAAATTGAAATGAAATTTACCAAAACATTAAAAGTATTTTCTATAGGTTGCCAATGTTTGCTTTTTCTTTACTTTTCACTTTTCTTCTCTTACCAAATTTCTTTAAGAAAAATATTACTTCTGCTTTAAAAACCCTCTTTCTTCCTAAACATCCACAGAGGATTCTGAAAGAGTATTTGTCCTCAAATGGTGCTGTAAATTAGTGAAGGTGCTGTAAACCTGTCCTGGGAATTGGCACAAACTGCGCACAGGCAGTTGGGTGAGAACTGGACTTCAGACATTTTCGGGAAAGTTGCTACAGTCTAAACCTGTTATGAAAAACTTCCACCCACCTCTCCAGGACAGAGACAAGGTGGGGGTCACAAGGAGTCCCCTGCAAGGTTAAGGGCAGGTCCTCTCTCTGTCATGGCTTGATCCTTTGGGAGCTGTGACCCAGCCTGGCCTCGTGATCCATAAATGGAAACATTCAAACCTCCGAGAATGAGTCCAGCTCAGGAGTGCCACAGGTTAGGGCTCCTGGACTCTGAAGCCTGGAGGGAGGCTTGAAATTTATTCCTAGGGCTTTAAAATCTTAGGAGGGGCCAGAATTGTGGCATACACTCTCCTGATGCTCCAGAAGACAAAGCAGGAAGATGAAGAGATTAAGGTCAACTTGGACTACATAGAGAAGCCTTACCTCAGAACAGAACAGAACAGAACAGAACAGAACAGAACAGAACAGAACAGAACAGAAACAGAACAGGATGGGATGGAATGGGATGGGACAGGACGGGACAGGACAGGACGGGATGGGACTGGATGTGATGTGATGTGATGGGATGGGATGTGATGGGATGGGATGGGATGGGATGGGATGGGATGGGATGATGGGATGATGGGATGATGGGATGATGGGATGATGGGATGATGGGATGATGGGATGATGGGATGATGGGATGATGGGATGATGGGATG